ACCGCTGCTCTAGAACACCATATTTTCACAGAAGCTCTTGGGAAAAAGAAATATCAGAAAATATCTCCTCCTCACCTCTAGGTATCGAAATAAGTGGCCAGATTTTTCAAGAGCTCTCAAAATACATCGGCAATTGGGGAATCTGATAATTTGAAAAGTTATCCCCAATGCTTTACAACACTGAAAACAAACCCTTTAACACCTCTCCCACTCAAGCTCATATCACACCTTGAAGTCACATCAGATTTTCTTTCTTTGGTAGAGAAGTAGTGGTGTGAAAAGAGATGTAATGGGAAACTCCGCTAATATGTTTCTCACAGAAAAATGGACATCTTGATACCATATTGATTTAGTCTATTGGACACCGCTGGCTATCACAGATGCAGCGTTATACTTACAGAGAGAAGCTGACTCATTAAAAATGAGAGAAGTCACAGTACCTAGACATTTAGATAAACTTAGGATGTACAAACAGACAGACCTTTTAACTCCATTTCAATGTAATTAGCTTAGGGCTGGCAGCCAGATGGACAGTATTAGAGACAGGCACCCTCAGCTAAATCGTACAGCAAACAGAGCATCAGGAACTTGTCATCACCATCCGTCGGGTCTAGTATCTGCAGGAGGCAGAGGCCTGCTCCATTCAGATTGTAGCCCCCAGCAAGGTAATGAAGAGAAGTGACTATTACCTTTGGTCCTGCAACATATTTAAGGGCTTGCTGGAACTGAATCAAGACATCTGAAGAGGTAAAACCCACCTGGCAGATGAAACCAGTGGATGAGCACTGCCGAACCCAGAGACTGAATTTCCTCTTTTTCCTCTTGCGCAGCTCCCTCTCTGTGCACGTGGCAATGAAAACAGGATCCTCATCAATCAGGGGCTCATGTAGTACCTGCAGTTGGCAAGAAAAGGGGGCAGAGGGAGAAACAGAAGAGTACACGATTGCTGAAAAAAAATGGTGCTTTAAATTCTTCCAAGGAAATACAGTTCTTGCATTGTTCTTGTATGCATCACCTAATACAAAGGAGCAAACCCACTTTCATTCAATGCTACCATCCAACAAAAACCAAAGCCTGGCCAAGCACACTCTATTGTGGATGGCTACTCTACACGTGGTTTGCAAATGTTGCAATGCATGGCTCTCACTTCTCACTATCAGCTACAGTTTAACATCCCTCCAAATTGTGGCCTCTACCTCTCTTATCAGCTGCAGTTCAACATCCCTCCAAAATCAGGTGGGGCATGGAGGGTGGAGATTGTTAGTAGCATCCTTCTCCAAGCTTCATCATTAGCTTCATCTTGTTTGGCAGAATGTCTTCTACCCAGACATTCCCTACAATGTGTTGTAAGTTACACTCCTTGGTTACAGTAAAGGAAAACACACAGCAAAGAGGGAGAGAAGTTAAGGGAGAAAAAGGTATTTTCTGCTGCCACTTAAGGAGGTGATAAAGAGAAAGAAAACATTTTTCCTGGTGGCAGCAGCTTCAGGAAAGATACTTTTGCCTCAGGAGCTGAAAAAATTGACAAAAGGAGACAGAAAGCTAAAGGACCAGAGGCAGGAATAGGAAAAGACAAGGCAAACTGGAGCAAGTAATGAAAATCTGTGAAAGTGAAGCAATTTCTACATTCTGCATCCAGATGATGTAAGTGGTTCCCTGCTCTTTACAGCTGTTTTGTTACACTTCTCTCCATTAATTCTGTAGCAAAGTCATTAGGTTTTACACTATAGAACCCACCTGTAGAAAAGCTCTACCAGCTTCTTGCAGCTCACAGGTAGCTGTGCATAACACACACATCCCTGACTGCACGGTGTGTGAGTTGTCTAGGAAGTCACTTGTCAGAGTACAAATGCTTGGAAACTGTTGAAAGGTCTCAGCTGCTGACCGCTGACCAAATTCAGACATCTACATCTAAATCAGAGCAAGCCACTGCAGGCTCCCCTCTTAGTACACGAGAGGAAAGCAGTCCCAGCAGGCCATAACTCATACCTTTTTAAAGACCTCTGTAAAGTAAGTCAGATGGGTTATGATCTAAAGGAGCCCATTCTTTCCCAGTGACCATCACCCCACGAGACAGGTGCCCAGAATGCAGAGGCTCTCACCCTCAGACCAATCCTTTCCACATCTGCATGTGTGCTACTTTTGTGCACATCTGCATGCAACCAGTGGCAGAAATGAGAACAAAGCTGCATTAAACCTGGGAGCGATGCTTGCAGGAGAGATGTGGTGGGTAAGCAGTTAAGTACCAGTGATGAGCAGCTGCTGGCCTCCTGAATACAAGACGTCTGTTGAACACCACTCTGTCAGCCCAAAATAGGCACCCATGCCCTCCCCACGCAGTGGCGGCTGCAGACTTTCATTTATACGCACTTCACTTCTTAACAGCTCATAAAACATTCACAGGACCATCTGAAAGCACTCTTGTGAAATGTTCAAATTATACACCAAAATGCAGATGTGAGCAAGGAGAGCTGCACACAAAGCTATTTATTCTTAAAGCTGCAGCTGCCCCGTTTCCCCACTGGAGCCAAATCCTTTTCCTCTCTAGAGGTCCACATGAAACACTGCTCTTCCTTCCTGAAGGCCACCTGGGGCATTTCACACTTCCACCTCAGGGAATTCTGACAGTGTTTTGCAAATATTAAACATGGCCTCATTTGCTTTTGCCTTTCTGCCTCTTCTGTGCAGAGGGGAGGACCACATCCTTTGGGATAGGATTGGATACACTGTTAAAATTCCTCAGCTTCTGGAAAGGCCCTCTTACCATCATATGCCACTGAATGGTGAGGTTCAACTGTCAAGTCTCTCCCGCTGTAGAATGGGGAGCAACAGAAAGAAAAGGCTGTATAACCACCACTTGAGGACATTTTTTACCCTCTATCATCAGCTCAGCTCCCTCCTCTGCACCACAGCACCAGCTCTCCTCACAGCAGCTCTACTGCATCCTGCTTACTCTTTGCACCCTTTTCTGCCTTAGAAGGCTGAGTGAGGCCCGTCGGCCTTAAATTTAGAAAGCAAATCTGAATTTTGAAAACTTCTCCCCATCCTCCTCTTCTTCCCCTAGGAACCAGAGCTTCCCCTCCCTTCCCCTAATGCTTAAGTCATTCCCATTTCTCCAGAAGAAGACTCCACCGAAGTCCTTACTGAACTGCTGGGAAGAGGGAATGAAAATGGAAACAGAGTAGGGCAAGATTTGCTGCTGCTGCAAAGAGGGAATGTGGACAGGCAGGGAAACTGAAATGAAAACCCTGGAGCTTGCTCTTCTTGCTTCCTCCAGAGAGGGTGGGGAGACAAGTGTTGTCACCCCTCCGCATGCAACCACTGCTTCAACAGCTGTAAAGGACTTTGCAAGCAAGGCATTGTATGGGCTGTGCCTGCTGCTGGAACAGCTGATCCCCATCTCATTTTCAAAGGGGGTGATTTGTTGCTTCTGGCACTAACATGGTTTTCCTATGACAAAAGTTAGCCCTGTTGCCACTGGCCAGTCCTATTAGTTTGTTCACCCTCCTCCATTCTCAGTCTCCTTGCTCCTCCTGTAATTTCAAATCCATCTCTTTGCCAAATTCCCATGCAAAGTGGTATTTGCTCCTTCCCCATTCCTAAAAAAAAACCTGCTGTTGCTGCAATACCCGCTTTCTCAGGATTGAGCTTACTGCCCCCATGCCATGTTCTTTCCTGCTTCTCATCTTCCTAAATAAAAATCTACTTTCAGGCTTAATTGATTCCTACATGTATTTCTGGCCGCCTCTTCAGCATCTTTGACTCACTCCCCAAGCTCTCCCCTCTTTTCATTCTGACTTCCTTTGATGCAAGATAACTCGTGGAATTCTTCAGAGAAATCATCCCCATTGTCTTCTCTCAAATCCCCAGTTTTGTTCAGGTCTAAGAAGTTCCTCATCTAGTTTCTTTGCTATCCCATTGGGGTTTTTTTCCTCTTCTTTATAGCCATCCTCATCCCTGCTAGATCTTCTTGCCAAGCTTTCACTCTTTGTTTTCCCTTCAATATGTATATGCACTCCAAGTGTTAGAGTTCATCTCGGAGCCTTGCCTCTCCAGCAATTGCTCCATCTCACAACATCTTTCATTCACCGAACAAAACAGCTAGCCACTGTCAGGAGTGCCTTTCTTTTCCATTTTAGCTCACCTCCAAAGCTCTTTCCACTCCACAGTTCCACCCATCTTGCTCTCACCACAGCCCAAATACACTTGTAGGCAAAGCCCAGAGCCACTAACTCTTTGGTACTTGGACTTCCTGGACTCCATTGCCTTAGATAATGAACCAATATATCCTTTTTGCCTTAGATAATGAACCAACATGTCCTTTTTCTCTTAGCTCCATGGCCATCCTCAACAAAGGCTGCCTCTTCAGCCTGTCTGCTAGAGAAACTGCCTCAGCTTGTCTTGTCTCTGGCTTATGGTGGGTACTATCCAGTTGCAAACAGAGTCCCCTGGGTAACTGCAGCTGTATGCAGAGATTCTGCCATTGCTTCTGCAATAGTAGCTTGTGCTTCTGCTGCTTTTCTCCAAAGCTCCTCCTGTCTGAACTACATTCTATTCTAGTATCTGACATCTCTGCTTGCATATCTAGCTGTCAGTTCTGGTTTTATTATGCTGCATTTGAGAGCATCTCCCTCCCCTTCAGATAACCCATTACTATCTCCTGGCCAGTGAATCTGAATGTCAGTCTTTACCTCCAATGCCTTGCAAGGTCTTCTGAGCCAGGCAATGCCTGCATTGTCCATGCTTTCTGAGTAACAGCTCTAAAATGTTACTCATTTTGCAGTAATAACCTACTCACCCTGTCAAATTTTCGTCCAAGCCCACAGCCATCCTGCAAGTTTTCCTTTTGGTCCCAACATAAGGCAATCCTGCCCTACAGACTGCTGCTGGAAAGCTGTTCTCCTAGCCCATCACACTAGCTACATCACTTTATTTTTCTCCAGTAGCCACTCTTCTCCAATATATCAGACAGACTTTTTTCTCTTCACTTTCAAAGTCCTGTTTGGCTTATCCATGTTACTGTTGTTATATGTTACTGATCCTCTTTGCCATCATTCAAAGGTTAATTCCCACCTATGATGGAGCCATGATTTCATGCTCCTCTGCCCATTTGTTCAGTCTTCAATCAACTCTCTTCAAAGAAGAAAAAAAATCATCAGTTCTTACAGCACTCCATTACCATTAAGTAATTTAAAAATAGCCAAAAATTTTCTGCCGTCAAACTCTCCCTAAAATCTGGCTTCACCAGAGGATCAGCTAGCCAAAAGCTACAGGGCATTGGAAATTTACCTTGCTATTCAATATTCTTACTGCTCCTCTGTCTGTCTTTCTCCTGCTCCTCATCTTATACTTGGATGCCATCCTCTGAATACTTATGTCTTTGTGTTACACTCACAGACAGAACAGTCCTGGTTTGGGACCAGCACTCTTACAAAAAATCATTTTGAAAACAGGAAAACTAAGATACAGAGGTGTGACTTGAGCAAGATCTTACCATCTGGAAATGCCCACTACCAAATCAACATTTAGTCATGAGGACATGAAAGAGCAACGAGTTGATCAGCCTGGTTTTGCCCGTCCATGTTTTCAGAGCAGCTGTCGTCTAATGCTGCGAGTGGGTTTGGAAGAACCATGTTGAAACTGCTTAGCTGTACCCTACAATACTACCAAGAGCAAAACACAAACAAGCCCCCTAGTAACTGGGGAAAATTTAGCACCATGTCCTTGGACCAAGAGGTTGAAGTGATGTCTCTTTTTTTTTTTGCCAGGGAGTTCACTCCTGCCTGAGGTATGGACTTAAACCAACCATTCCCAGCTGACGTTCCACGGGGCAGATGCAGAGCTGTTTGTTCCAAAATGCCAAAGAGAAGGTACTTTGGAGGGAGAGGGAAGACAAGAGTGCCTGGAGTTGTGCTCCTGACCTCTCCCACGCCAGTCAGGGGCAGCCAGAGACAGCGATCCTGTCTAGTCACATCCCGCTGACAAGCACATAAATACTCAGCAGGCACAGAAAGATATTTGAGCTGTGATGTTATTTTCCTAAGCTCCTCTGGTTTCTGGAATTCAGTGTATATCCTTGACAGGTGAGTACCCTTGAATTTGTTGCAGTACACCTCCTGAGCTCAGGCAGGGCATCCTCCCTGTCTCCAGGCTTCCACTTGTAGGCAGTAGCACAGCTACAAAGCTAAACAGCACAGAGACGACACCGATTCCAGAAGGAGACCCCAAAACTCCACATCTTGTTGCTCAGGTAGCGGCAGCAGTTATTTATACAGAAGATGTCGGGGAAGGATAGCATGCAGAGAATATTCCTGTCACTCCTATTCAATCTAGGTCAGAACACCATTTTTTTTTATTTCAGAAATTGAAGCTAGCACTGCTTATAGACAATTACAGTGTTCTGGGCTTTCAATACCTTCATAAGCTGGAGAGTAATTATTTCCTTTTGTTTGCTCAGTTATTTAGCAAAGTAATTATAATTCACTAGATCGTTTTCTTTGTTTTGGTATATTGGCATAGTTCTTTCCTCCCTCTGTTTCCTTTCATAGAAACTGTGGTGTCATTTTTGCATGCACGTTTTTGGCAGGGGTTACACATGAGGAAAAAAAAAACCTAAACATTTTCTGACAGAAATTCTACTTGAAGAATCTTTTCTAGCTCTCTAAAAAGAAACAATCAAGAAGGAATAACTGTGAAGGCAGATGTTGCACTGCCTGCTGGATGCAGACTGTCTGCTCTGTCCGTAGGGGCGAGTTAAGCACGGCATCTTCCTAACCCGTATTCTGTGAGTCCACACGGCCAGAGGAAGAAAGTCAGTAACAAGTCTACCTACAAGCCCAAAGAGCCTTTCTGCCTTCAACAGCAAGGAGCCCAAGTCATCTGCTTGATGCCATTTACAAGACGTTAGCCTGAAGCTTGAGCATAGATCACGGATACCACAAGTGTCATGTTTAAGATACAGGTGTACCTTAAGCAACAGATCCATTTTGAGCTTGGGATTCCAGGTATGACCCAATACAGAAGCCTGGGCCCCTCTTCCCAAAATGCTTTCAGAGGCAGCACATCCAAAAGCCCATCTGAATGGGTCTTTCCCCTTGTCTTTTCCCTTTGTTTCTGTGTAACCAGGTTATTATTTTTAACCTTCTCTATTATTTCTCACTGGGCCTGACATTCTGGGTTTGATGTTTGCTGCAGTCTGCTAATCTGCACTCAAGACAATTTCCAGAGAGAGGTCTTTTCTGCTGTTTTGAGCAGATGGGGTCCACATCTCTTGAGACAGGTAGTGTCTGATGGCACCCAGGAGGACGTTAGGCACAAGGCTGCTTTCAGGAGGAGGCCTAGAACATCTCCCAGTAGGCTACCGGTGCTACAATAGAGTATTTTTGACAACAGAACCAAACTCTTTTTCTTTCTCACAGAGTTATTTTTGAAGCTGTATTTTAGTGCTTTTTATTCTGCTCAATACCACTGAAACATGCTGCATACAAATCACTGACGTAAACACTGACAGGGGAGCAGAGGAGTGGAGGGGGAAGGAAGAGAATTGGGCTGTCACTATTTCTTCCCCCCCCCCCCCTTTTTTTTTCAAATAGCATCTCCTTACCAAGCTCAGCACAAGCATACATTTTACTTGTGGAGATTTAGATGTTTTGCCACTGCAAATAGGACACTATGATTTTGTCAACTCAGTTCTCAAACCTTGCTCAGGAGTGGGGAAGGGAGAAGGGATATACATGCAAATCAAATTTTATCCTTTAATGGATTTGCACTCACAGCATGTCCCACAGCACACCATTATAAGCATTTACATTAGACACAGTGATCACATTTCTGAAGGCTTTATCTTCCTCCCATTGAAGTCCGTGGCCATAAGGATTAGATTTCATATCTTAATGAGAGCTCGGTTCCAACAATGCCGTGTCTCTCACTGCCTGTTTTGTCTTGATGGAAATGCACCTTGCTGGCATGGCTTAGTGAGAACACTCCTGCCTCTTCCCTTCTTTACTGTAACAGCTTTTTAGACAGCTGTGTTGTCCTGAATTATACAGGTATGATTTTTATTGTCTATAAAATAGACAAAACCAGTAATCCCTCCCAATTTCTTTTACTTCAGTAGATGTAATGCATCTATGTCTTCAGTAATTTTGTGCAGCAGGCAAAAATGTGATGCTTCAGAGGGAAGAAAAAGAGGACAATGGACACCACACCCTTTCCAAATGTCTAGGTGAAATCTTTATATTCTAAAAACAGAGAGCTGATTGAAAAGTTATTTCAAGCAGTAACATATTTCATGCTTTTTCTTTTTCCTTTCCAGACTTCTGAACATGACCAGTAGCAACAGCTCCAAAAGGAGATCATTTGTTCTGGAACAAAGTTTAAATAGTGTACGAGGAATATTAAGAAAAGATTTCTTTGCACTGTAAAAAAAAAATGTTCACCTGTACAGCTGTAGTCAGACAGCCACCAGCTACATAAGTTTCTGTATTTAGTTCCTTACCTTGTCTGCCCAGTCTATGGAGCAGTCTCCCTACAGAATAGCATTCTGCTTGACCCCTAATTGTATCCAGAAATGAAAATTCATTGGAGTCCTGTTTACTTTTATTCCTGGTAGTCTAGAAATATTTTCAGTTCACTGGCACGTTGGTTGCAAATCAACACATCAATAAGTTTTTCCATAGGAGCATCACCCACCATTAAAAACCAGGACTGGCACAAGGCACAGGCAGCGCTGCTGAGGGCAGCTGACAACCGCAGCGAGCAAAGGCACCTGCTCCCCTGCTTATTTTCCCTTTCCCCAGTCGTGAGGAGGTAGCTGTGCTGCTCGACCATACGGCAAGCACCTACTGCTAAGGTCAGGGATGAGGACGGTCACTCCTAGCAAACTCAGTTCCTGCATCCAACACTCAACCTGTACCAGGAGCAGCTACAGGTTTTCCCTCCAGCCCAGCTGCACTAGTTCTGCCCTTTCCACTCTCCCTCACAGAAGCAACCTGCAACCTCCCATCCTCAGGATAGCAAAACCTAGTGGTGCCAACCACACTGAGAAGCCTCCAGGCTTGTTTAGACAGCAAACAGCCCCAGTTAAGAGAGCATCATTCCTACTGAAACATGCCAGGTGCCTGCACTGCAGAGCTGTAAGTCAGACACTGACGAGCACTCGCACAGGACAAAGCACTGCTTTCTCTCATGCTTCATGAAGGCACGTGGCTTTACACTGTGAAGCCCTAGCTCTTTCTTCAGGCAGCTGTGCTCTGCGCTTTCAGTCATAGCGAGACAACCTAGAGCACCTAGGTTAGATGTTCCCTGCCAACAGGTTAACTCTTACCTGGGCTTGTGAAGGTTTAAAAGCGGAGTCAAAGCCATTCTGCAGAGAGTCCAGAAAAGGCTGGATTTTGTAGAGGCCGTGCGTTGTCTGGCTTGAGCGGAAGGCCACAATGTGGAAGTACTTCAGGATCTTCTCAAACCGTGATTGTGTCATGATAAGTGCAATGCTCTTGTTACTGTAGAAGCCACTGCTCCAGATGCTGAGAACGGACTCACAGTGGTGGATGCTTGTTGATATCATGTAGCCTAAGAAGGCCTTCATTTCCGTCAAGGTGACATCAATCCAGGCATCGTCGCTACCGAACCTCTCCTGGTACTTCTTGGCATACATGTTTGTTTGGACCACCATATTCTTTAGTACATTGTCAGGGACAAAGAGTTGAAAAAAGTCCATGGCACTGGCAGTCAGGGGCATTTTTCGTGTTGGACCTAGGACAAAACCAAGAAGGGAAGATAAGCTCACTCCTGATCATCATAAGGCATGTCCAACACTGGCAATTTAAAGCAGGATTAACCTTTCCTAAAGCAGGAAAACAAGGCCAAAGCAATGGCATGTCAGCTAATTCTTTTGAAATTGTACCTGCTGTCTAACAGATCTCATCAGAAAACTTTCCCCCTATATTCTCTGCCTTCCTCCTATACAATACAAATACAACACACTGAGTAGTTTCTTACTCCTTCCTCCTATACAATGCAAATACAACACACTGAGTAGTTTCTTACTCCTTCCTCCTATACAATGCAAATACAACACACTGAGTAGTTTCTTACTCTGCTCTGCACACTCATTAGTTTGTAGCATGCAGGCCTGAGAGGCGGCACGCACTTAATTTTTCCACTTATATGCTATCTGTACCTTTTCCCCCCAGCAGCTGTTTTGGCCTTTTTCTGGATAGTCCGTACACGTGTCAAAGCAGTGCCTCCCTCAACAACCCAGAAGGAAGGTGCTCGAGCCCTCCGGCGAGAGAGTGTTGTCCCCATCCCAGCTGACGCGACTCCTGGGCACTAGAACCTGATCCCACCTTTTTTTTTTGCATGTCCAGTTCCTGCCCAGTTCATTGCCATTAATCTCCTGTGACTTTCAAATCTGCTTCTGCTCCGCACACTGAGCCATGCAGATCATGCCTATGCACTTTTGAGTTCTGTGTCTCGGCCACCACACTGGAGCCTTGTCCTGCGCTCTGACATCCCCGAGAGAGCATGTTACCAGAACGAGTCAAAGACGCCACGTGGCTAGTGTCACTGTCCCAAGTCACAGGGAATATTTTTAGCATTACAGTGCATATGCTGGTCCTCTTCCTCCATAATGTAATAAGCTTTGCAGTCCCATGATGTCATTACTCTAGCTTTTCACTGATCTTGCACCTTCTCTGCCAGTTTCAACTATTCCATAAGAAAATGGGTGGGGAGGGAGGGGGAGAAAGAGAGGCTCCAAGGGTCGGCAGCACTGTATCAGTGTAACAAGGTTATCCAGTCAGACACCAGATTACATTAAGCCAAATTAGGAACATCGAGCTTGCAATATCAGAGATGCAGACACCAGTCCTTACAGCCCTCTCTCCTTTAATCCCTTCTATAAGCTCCATTTTAAAAGTAGTGTTTTTCATGCTCACACCCCGTGGCAGTGCTTTAGTCGCCAGGTAAGGGTGAGGGAGACAGGGACATTCTCTGTTCTCCTACAGAAACAGCGAAAATCAATGCACCTGAGAGGGACAGCACAGACAAACCCAATGGACAGGGCAGTGCTTAAGAGCAGTTCTACAACCCTGCGCAAAAGATAGTGTCATGGTTGTAAGCCCAAACTAAGAGTTGGATCCAATAAATACTGCGCCTTAGTTTAACAGCCTTCAGCCTTGGGACTATCTGAAAAGCACTCTTCCTGATCAAAAGCAGGAGTTCTGCCTAACAAGAGTGAGTCTTCCTTGCACTACATGGCTGCTTGGATCTCAGCATCAGCTCTCCCAGCTGAATCAGAGCACAAGATTTGCCATTCTAGACTCTGGCTCTGCAAAGGTCCACTACTGTGTTGGTTAGGTTGCAGTCTGCAATACCCCTGTCTCTCACCTCACATGCTCAGTTACAGCAACAATATAGCTTGCAGAAATTTTGCATGACACAGTACTATGAGGAACTGCACAAACATTGTGGTTGGACTTGCTCTTCAGCTTTAGTGTTTGGGTACACTCTGGTGAACTCAAACTATTAGAAGGACAGCAAAAAGAGCACCAAGACATCGAAACAGTGAACCTTCAGATTGCAAATGCCAAAAAAGCCAACAAAAGAGGA